ATATCTTATATATCTTATATCTTAAAAGTTACACGTGATATACCCACAAGTAATGTATTGGACATGTATCTAATGAGATCATTTACTTTTGACATAAAAATGTCACAATCATAGCTGACCATTAGATATTAAATCGGGTGGTTGAAAATGTGTCATGGTTTAAGCACAAAGTCCAAAATAAAATTTCACCATTATTGCAATATACTTTCAACTATTAGATTTCACATCCAATAGTTAAAATTAATTATGAGCTCCTTGTACAAAAAAATAAATAATCTTATAGTATACAATCCCTAAAAATTAGGAGCTTTTTTTTTCACTTATCGATTCTCTCTCTCCTCTCTCTCTCTCTCCCTCTCTCAAGCCCATGTAATAGCATCAATTTCTATCTCTTATATTCAACCTCTTTCAAATGCCAAAATCCAAAGACTCCAAACAAATGAGTTCTTTCAAAATAGCGTTGAAAGCCCCTTTGTTTTCATTGAACATAAGATGTTTGCGAGTTGATTTTTGTCACTACTCATGAGACAACCTATTGACGATTTCTAATTTGTCAAATTCCAACTTATAAAACGCCTGACTTGTGAAATATAGCGGAATAGAGCACTGTTAGGTGGTCCTACAAGACTAGATTATTCACATGATCTCTCCTAAAAAACACATGGTATTTTGGGCCGTTTGCTATGAAAATTTTGTTCATATATTTTATTTGCCAAGTGAACATTTCTTATTTAGTTAGTTTTTTTAGATTGAGCTCTTAGAACCCTAGATATTTGCATGCATCAAATAAACAACTCAAATTCTATTAAATTGGAACATTCTTTTTTAGTTTAATTTTTAAAAAATTGGTTAATAAAGATGATCAAAATTCCCCCCCCAAAAAAAAACTTTTAATCATTCTTCTGTTTTTTTTTTAGTAATACAGTGGAGAAGTGATGCAAATAAAATTTAGAGTTTATTTAATTTTTTATTTTTAATTAGGAATAGAAAGTGAGCTAGGATAAGTATAAAGTTAAGCAGGAGGAGGGAGGATTTTTGGTATGTGATTTAGGGAATAACTTATAGATAAGGTAAATATCTTTTGGTTTAAGAAATAATTAATTATAGTTATCTTTTACTCTTACAAAAGCTAATGTGGAAGCTAGAAAGAGAAAAAATATGAATAGTATGAGAGAGAAAAAAAGTCAAAGAGAAAATAGGAAGGATAGATAAAATAGGGAAGCACATACTTTTTTTAGGAGATAGATTTTATTTTGTTTTGGTTCTTTTTTTAGTTATTTATTTATTTTATTTGAAGTCTATTTAAAAAGAATATATCCTCGTTGTAAACCGAGAATTGATTAAAGTTGATATTGTGATAATATCTTTTTGAAGTAGATTCTTTTGCTGACTTATTGGGATGGATTTCTTCACACAATTTGAGAGATGATATATTATCTCAATAATTTTTTTTATTTTATTTTTATTGTTTTAATTTTATTTTCTCCCTGCATCAAGAAAACATTCCCCTATCTATTTTTTCAAATAGTTTAGAAGTTAGTTTTTTTTAAAGTGTTAATGGGGGTGGTGTCAATCGGAACCCAAAATGAAAACCATGGTATATTAATAAGCTCAAATGGCAAGAAAAAAAATAAAATAAAATTCCATTAATCCTCAGGCCAAACGCATTTCCATTGGTCCTCAGGCCAAACACATCATCATTAAAAGCTCCCCTTTTGAGGATGCAATTCTAGGTTTCTCATGTCGCTATTTAATAGGGTTTGGTATTAGATTGAAACATTGTTGGACCCGATTAAAGGAAAGGAACCTGGAGACAAGAATTGCACGTATTTCACTTCAATAACTATCAAGTAACTCTATTATGTACGAGCCCATGTACTATGCTTCAGCAAGAGTATGATGTGAACTTGCTCCCTCCGGTAGAAGGATAAATTGATAATATTTTTTGAAAAATGATCTTATAGGATTTTTTTTCACTCATATGTGTAGGACTTCAAATGATTACCATTAAATTTGATACGGATCTATAGAAAAGTCAAGTCTCACACCCATGTGATAATTTTTCTAGAGATCCGTGCCAATT